ACTATTTCGCAAATGAGATCTAAGGAGTCGAGCGCGAGGGGGAGGGCGGGATAAATTATACGGTAGGGTACGGCCTCTCGCGAATACCGTCTCTCCCCCCGTGTGTAATTACGCGATCGTATTTACATACGTGGCCCATTATCGCCCGGCGGGATCTTTATTTTGCATTCGAACGCCCGCACACATTCGCGCGCAGCCCGTTGAAACACAATCAGACTGTATGCTCGACGTCCCGTCGCCGGCACACAAAGACCGGAAAAATACGAATTTCTAATCGCGGTGTATCGCAACGCGTGCGACTTGATTGTTGCCGGCTCTGCCTTGTGCAGTGAGAAAAAGAAGAAGAAAAAAGGATATATAATAAAGAAGCGAAAGCGCTGTGAGAAAAATGCCGGGAAAATGCCGGGGTGACCCAGAATTACGGAGTCGCCTCTCGGCCGCGGTTTATTTTACCGAGCACGGAGTCGATTTTTCATTTTAAAACAAATTTTAAATCCAAGTACACAATCTGGGAGTAGAGCTTCCGGAATGTCGAAAATATTTTTGCATCAATGACAATCAATAATTTTCTAATAGCCTCAAACATTAATAGAAATTTCTCCAGATTATCGAGAATTAATACAAATTTATTTAAAAATGTTTAAAACACCTTTCAGATCAATATATAATGTTGAAGTAATAAAATATGGGAAATATTAAAAACGTTAGCTAAACATATAATTTTGTTAATTAATTCATAATTATACCAAATAGAATCAATAAGGAGCATAAAGAGCCATAATGCTAGGTCTTTGTGCGAAGGTTATAATATATTCATTAAAAGTGTTAATAGACGTTTCGGCCTGCCATCAGGCCTTCTTCAATGTACAATAAGTGACAATAAAATAACGATAGATTCGCAAAGATTACATGAAAGAACGATGTCGAAGACGTAATAGACAGACTTATTGATTCTATTTGATTTAAAAATCACCAGAGCCTTATATTCTAATTAATTCGTAATTATACATCTCTCTTTAATAATCGTGGAAAAGGAACTGGAGAAAAACTTTAATATAACTTTAATAAAAATATCTCCGCTCGAGTTAACCGAAATTTAATTCAGAGTTTGATGTATTTTCGCCGCGGCGGTCGATGCGAATTTAATTAAAAATCCGCGACTCGGTTGACGTGGTCGTTGGTGAAATTCTTCACGAGCATCGACCCACCGGAGGGAATTCTCCGAAAGAAATCTTTGCGAACCGCAGGCGGCCTACGAGCGGTCGGAGATGATTTTCGCTCGTTGCGGCCTCGTGCGAATTCGTCGTGAAAGACACGCTAAAAAAAAAAAAATCTAATACGCCAGAGACCATTTACGAATAAGGGGACAGAGAGGAAATAAACTCGCCCGCGGGCGACGTCGGCCTACATTTTCGATTGCAGTTCCGCGCGGGGAGAATTATCAATTGTCAAACAGAACGAGAAATCGCTCGCGATTCGGAGCGAACTGTCACGAAAATGGGGATTGTGAAATTCCATAAGTTAAATTGTCGAGTCGAGTGGCAGATCGTCGAACATACACACACACAACACACACACACATGCGAGGCGCGAGTATTATTAACCCCCGGAGCGGATCATCGGGCGCGGCAAAAAAATTCAGTTATCATCATCAATCATATGTACGTAGATCGTCAAACACAAATCGCTGAAGCGAACGGACGAAATGTAAATCGACGGGTCAAAGTGGAATTGTTGAATCCCGTAAAAACCATCGGCGGCGCGTTATCGAGCGCAAACATTATTACACCCAAAGCAGATTATCGAAAACAATAAATAGTGAAAAACGCAGCAAGCAGATCAATCAAATGCGGCAGGAATTACGTTTCGCGATGCGAAATAAATTTCGATACCGCGCTCTCACCTCCCTTTCACGCTTCGCGCGACACTGTTATTTGTATTTTTATGAGAAGCAGCTCGCAAATCATATTAATAAACTGCATCAATATTAACTCCCCGCTCGCGTTGTCAGTTTCAACGAACGATAATCGATATTGCGCGCTAAACAAATCAACAATAAATTGCTCGACTGTCTATTCCGCGGGTTCTTTTCTGCCCCTCCTCCCCCACCCCTTTCACACGCAATTCCCATTATCTTTCCGAATGTGACAGTAATTGCTTTTCTATCATTTCAGTACCGCGCGCGCGCGTGCACGCGTAATGGTAATTTTAAATTAATGCCAGTGGGTATTCATTGTAATTAACGGTTTAAACTGTTTCACGGGGTGAGCCGCGCGCGCGCGCGCGGGCATTACGTAGCGTATTGCAAAACGCAACCTCGTGTTTCGCACGGGCGCGCGCGCGCGCGCGCCGAGTCATTTATTCGTGTAATTAATATCTTTTCGGATGTTATTAAATTTTCGCATAGCTTTAATGCGATATCATTCATCGAACCGTGTCGATTCGCAATTTTTCTCTCTCCTTTGGGAGGGGAGGATAAATAACACCCTCTTTCTCTTCCCCTTCCGCTTCCGTTTCCGATGTGCCCGCGTGCATATCCGATTGTTAATATACAGAATGTCTCTCTGTTGCCGTTTTATTAATTCACCGGAATTGTCGCCGCGCGCTTTGAGTGCCTTTCGTACCCCCCCACCCCCCACCCCCCTCGTAACTCCCCGCGTACCTTGTGATCTCCGTAACGACGGGATAAATCTTTAAGTGCCTTGCGCTCGCACGAGCATAGACCTGCGCATATTACAGGCATCCGCCGCGGCTCGTAAAACTCCCAACGATGATAAAATAATCGTAAGATGCATGTAATCGGCCAAAATATTAGTCCATAATATAAGATAAATGTCAGTCAGTGGCCGGGCTTGTCCCAATCTCTGAACGCATATAAATAGAACAGTTATATTATTTAACATTCATAAATGTAAAAATAAGTTTAATAAAGACATTAATAAATTAATGTTCGCATATTCAAAAACTTAAGAACTGTGCAAATTTTAATTACATAATAATTAATGCAATGAACCGAAGTATATTATGTGAAACGTTTTAGATCTTTAACAATTTTAGTAAGAACAAATAGTTTTTTATGACGTTGAAAAGAATTAATTTTCATCACTTTTAGAAACAGATTTCTAAATTTCTCATTTAAAAATCTTTTGCGTGCATTCTGCATTATGTCTGCACACTAATCATATGCACATTCGAAATCTTCTGCAAATATTTAATTAACTATGAATTGCTAAGCACAAGTTTGATTTTATACTTCTGTTAAGTTTTAATCTTTATTAAAAGATGAGAAAAATATTACTTTGATAGAAAAAATTGTAAAACATTCCTTAATAAAATATTAATATAAACACTGACGTATAAATAATTCAATTATAAATACCAGAGGATAAATAAATTATCGCGAGTATAAATCATGAAATGATACGGCGCGCTGTAATTATTCGAAAATTTCGTGGCGTCCCTCATCGACCTCGCAAACTAACTTTCGAGGCACTGCGTTCGTATACAAATTAACGCATTATAATCACAAATTCACATAGTACACTCGCTAATGTACACTTGCTCGAGCGATAACCGGAATGGGATTCGTTATTTTTCCGCTACCGGCCAGCGCGCGCGGCGGCGGTGTTCATTTCGCTGCATGCAATCAAGTGCTCTCATTAATAAAGCATTTGGGGCATAAATTAATTATCGCCGCCCCCGGGGGATTCCCTCTTCATTCCCCGACGCGAACCACGATTTTATTCGCCCTCTCGGTGCCATAATTACGACTCGTCCGTTCGTCCCGAAAAAAATCGAAGTCGACAGTTTTCCTCGGAAGAGACACTCGTCATTTCAATTACTTTCGCAATTCCCAATTTTTTTTCTCTACCGAATATCGCGAATTATCTAGCACTGCGAGCGACAGGATTTCCCGAAGCGTCGCCTTTCCCTTTCAATGGCCGCTAATTTACGGCGAGGTTTTCCGTAGTCGGGAAATCCGCGGTAAATCGAAAAGCGCGATAAAGGAGCGCCCGGGCGAGAAATTAATCGAGGCCCCTCGAACGTGTTAAGTGGCGAATTAAAAGGATTTCTTCACGACGATGGGAGAAGTATCGTATTATACGAGACGCCAATAACTAATTAAAGATTATACTTGAATCAATCGTCGAGGCTTCGCGAGGGATAAACAGACGGGTCGCGATAAATGGATGAAGAAAAGATAACAACGCCGGCCGATATCCTCGGGCTTGCTAACGTCGCATTTAGCACTAAATACGGTTTGTCGGTCTCAAATTCTATTTATCTATGTAAACAAATGATGTGTAACTCAGTATGTAATCTGCTTACTCGTATCGAAACGAGACTTTGTACGCGTATATTTATGATTCATTCCTAATTGATAAGATTGTGATTCATGAAGAGCTACAAGAGATAAAAAATATTTCTAAACATTCTTTTTAAAAAATATACAAATAGATGTAATAAATAAAATTATTTTTTTATCTTTAAATTTTTCTATCATTTAAATATTTTTTGGTGAAAAAAATATGAACAAATGTAATGGATAAAAAGTATTTTTTTTTTTTTTTAAATACGTTTAGTGTATAAAATAATAATATATTCTAAATCGATATGTGACCTGGGCTCAGATTGAAACTAGCTTTACGATGTACATTTGCGACTCATTGTTAATAAAACCCTGATAAGATTATGATTCCTAAATAGATACGAGAGATAAAATTATATAAATATATGTAAAATAGATAAAATTTGTTCAAAGTTTTATCTTTTTAATAATCTTTTTAAAAATTTATATTACATAAATAGAAATATTCAATAAAGTCACTATTTTTACTTTTGGAAAATTAAGAAATATGAATATCTATAATAAAATGTGAAAATTTTTATTAAAATTATTTCAAAAATTGTATAAATTTATAAAAGTTTTTTTTTTCAAAGCAACTGCAAAACTTCTGAAATAGTTTTTATTAATGGAATTTTTATTTGTGTGCTTTCAGGGGACATCATCCACTGCTCGGGAGCAAGAGACACAAATCAGCTGGTATGTCAAATAATCAGCTGGTTGACTCCTGTCTGTAAGTGTCTTTCTCTATGTTTAAAATAGATGATTGGTAGACAGTACCGCGGCCAGTATTTTCACACGCTTCTCCGATTATCCGTAAATGTGATAAGAGGATTAACATTGTGTGTATCATGTCTCATTGTCCCGACATTTCCGCTCATTATCATCGACCGAGCGCGTCCGTCGCGATTATTAATTAGACATTTCGCTAATAATTCACGGCTCGGAGGATTTGTTTGTTTCGTTTCTGTTTTGCAGGCGTAAGCCCGGCACAATTCGCGGAGCGGATTTTCTATCTTCCGCGGTAAATTCTACGAGTTTTACTTGCCGACAACTTTGACGTCAACTCACCCCGCTGCGATAATTCAGACATGATTATAAAGTTACGTAACGTCGGGGATTAAAAAGGTTTTGACGCGCGCAAAGCTTCGGGACTACAAATAGACAAGCGGGTCTTCATTCCTCCGTGGATTTACCACATGAACTTTTGCTCGCGAGCGGAATCTTGATTTAAGGCTCTCCTCGCACGCAAGAGACACTTAATATTTCAAATTTTTATCTCACTTGGCGAAAAAGACAGTTACAATGACACTAGAGAAACATGTAGGGGGGGAATTAACGCAATCTACAGTCCGATAACTTTGTGCGATTGATTGACATTAGGCTGGTGAATCGCCGGATCGAGCAGAGGCAGGAGCACAACATAACTCGCACTGAGATCACGCAGAGGTGACTAACATACATTAATCATGCGGTTACTCACGCTGAAATCAACCGCGCATGCGATTAATTTCATTAAGTTTAATCGGATGAATGTTCTCGAATGCGATTTACTCCGCAAAAAAACGATCATTTCCCACGCCGCGCAAATATATATCTACGCGAGAGCTATTGCGAGAGTTAATTCCAACAATATAGTTTTGTGAAGCTTTCGTATTGTATCGCTGACAATTTCCTTGGATTGCGTTAACGCGATTTTATCGCGGCGCGCATAAACCGTTGCGTTCTAAGTCGCGGCGCGGCCTAATTAACGCTAATTGACGCGACATTGTCGCCTAATTTCTAATAACCCGCTAAGACGCGGTATTTCAGAGTGAGTAACTCCACTGCACATCGACGCGTGTTTGCGCAATCATTTAGCATGCCGAAAGCGACGATGCGACGAGGAGGACGCGCTCCGGCGCAATTAGTAGCATTCTCCTCGAGATCATCGTCGCGCTTAGACAACGTATGGATACGCGCGCGTGCGTGTTTGTGCCTTAACGCGTCGTTCTGCTTTGTTTTCGTTTGGTTTTCAACGACACTGTTTGCTCTCGATTATACTTCAATCACAAAGTGTTGTTCGTGGTCTGCTATTCCTCTGCCGCAAATTATTTTATAATTTACATATAATTTGCGTATGGTATTCTTTCAGTTTGCAGGATTTTCCTTCGCGAAAATATTTTGAAAAAATGAACAACAGAATATTGCGCGCAATCGGAACAAAACTTTAGTTTCCAGTTCATTTCGAGCAATGTTTCAAAAAAATCTAATTAAAAACTTAATTATTAGAATATTTAAAAACACGAAAAATAAAGGGACATTTCAATTAATTTGAGAATAAAAAAAACTTACCAGGTGGACATACCAGGTGATTTGTGTCGCTTGCCCCCGAGCAGTGGATCCCCTGAAAGCGCACAAATAAAAATTCAATTTGTGAAAACTATTTTAGAAATTGTCTAAAAAAAAATGATATTTCTTTTCCGCGTAAAATGAGTAAAATGAGTTGCGGAAAAAGTGACATAAAAATTTTCGCTGAAGAGAAATCGACACCAAATTTTGTAATTTGGTGATTAATTTCATCCTGCACATGTTGCATGATGCTATTTCAAGTAGATTTTTGTGTATTCGATCATGTCAATATTGCCATGCTATTTATTGTAGAAAATCTCTTGCGAGATTTGTGCAGCCTTGTCCTGTACTTTGAAATATCTACTTTCGTATATATATATATATATATTTTTTTATGAGATATGTATTTTATAAATGTCATTCTGACTGAAAGACACCGTGAATCTCAAAGAGAAACGCTCGTTTTCAGACGCGTCCTACAGGAGAAAGCCCCCGACATGCCACAATACACGTAAGCGTCTAACTGATTATGATAGTAATTTCTGATATGATACGTATCTGCGCACTTCCGCGCTTTTGCGCACATTTCCGTCGATCTCTCATCTCTCTGTCTCTCTTATTCCGCAGGGGACAGGGCGACACAGATTATCATGGGAGTAACGGACAGGCGGACACTCACTCGCTGCACTCGTCTCATCTGTCCGTCCAGGAGGACCCGCTGCTCATTCGGACTCACAAGCAACAAACTTCTCAGCAAGTGAGATTGGGTTCCATTTGTATACTTTCCGCGCGAGTTGCGCGCACGCAACTTGCAATTCATAAATTCACGCGTGACGTACTTCTGAACTTCGTTCAATTGCGTCCCGTTCCGCCGCCAATTTATAACCCGTATCATTTTTTGCTGCGCGCGTGTGATGAAATTAAAAAAAAATACATAGCTCTTTTTTTTTTAAACAAATTTTAAATATTTTATTTCGCGATCCTCGCACTTTATGTATTTCGTATTTTCGCTGAAACGGTCGATTCGCTCGATTAATTTCACCCGAGCGCGCCGGCACTTCTATTTGCTCTCCATTTACGAGCGATTCGCGAAATCTGATTCGCGTCGTCGTCAATAATCGCATTGCGCGCAGCGCGAGCGCGGGTGTTGCGCAAAAATCCCGTTGAATGCAGCGTGAGAGAGAAAGATTGTGTGACGGGACGCTTCCTCCTCAGGTGACGACCGTGACGAAAGTCGTACGCGAGGTCTCGCACATGGAGCCGGATCCGGGCGCGGTCAGTTACATGTCGGTGCCGCTGATGTCGCAAGACTACCAGCACGCGGATCCGCGCTACCCGCGGATCCGTACATGGTCAGTTTCGACCATTACGACCCGTACCTGGGCTACCCGCCGCAGCCGGGGTACCCGGGTCCCCATGGCATCTACATGCCGCGCTCGCACTCCCCGCACAGCCCCCACAGCCCATCGGAGCACAGTCGTGCTTCACCGCCACACGGTATGTAACATCTGTATGCAATGATTTTTGTTTATTTCTAGTTTTATGATTTTCGACTGGAAAAATATTTTAAATACAAAAATAACGCTCTTGGATTTATTGATTCGCAGAATGATAATTGCTTGGTTTAAGATTTATTGGTTTACTTACAAGCTTGATGGTTGCGGATAGATAAATAATAATTAATGAGTAATGATTTTATTTTAAATCTGCTTGTCGAATTTTTAATGGATATTTTTTTGTGTCACTTGTATTTTGAAAGTGCATCAAAACGTAAAATTAGATTTTTTAAGTGAAAACATTCAATTTGTGTGAAATAGAAATCGTGTCATTTTTTGCAATAATGTACTATTATTTGATAATAAATTTTCATTAAACTAATATTATATAAATACAATCGTTATGAAAAATAAAATGTGCACATAAAACATTTAAAGAAGTTCAATCAGCTGTAAAAAATGTTGAATTTTAAAACATAAAATATTATTTTCAATTATTTCAATCTGAAAAAGTGACATAAAAATATTGAACATTTCTTTCGGAAAACACGGCTAAAAAATTGTTATCCTAAAAAGAGACAATGACAAGCGTGAAATTCACGTTTCCTTTGAAGGAAGGGAAGAGAGTCGAATGAAATCTGTGATAGCGATATAAAAGCGGCGATTCTTCTTCCGCAGAGTACTTGCGCAAGGGTGCGCCTTACGTGGAGGGCAGCTATAACGACATCGACCCCGGTTTAAACCCCGCTTTGCAGGACCATTATCGCATTACGCCGAGTCCAGGTGGTCCCGGGGACCAGTACGGTAGGTAGACGCGAGACGCCGGTCCGCAACAAGTGCGACCCGTTTCGTTTCTTCTCCGTCGACAGGCGAAATTCGATTTCAAACGACATCCCACCCCTCTTGCGCGATGTTTTTTCACGATTTACGCGATTGGATTACGCGTCGCGGTGTGTAGAACGGTGGCGAAAATGCGCCGATTTGTAACGGGTGGTCAAAGAGAAAGAGAGATAGAGAGAGAGAACGGATACCGTAATTCACTTTTGAACTTCGACCCGCGCGCGAGTCCGACACATCCTTGTTATTTTATGTTTCTCTTGCTCCAGATCGAATCAGCAACACGTGGAATATGGATGATGTCGACGAACCCTCTCGACAGCACCCTCGTGGTGCAACACATCCGCCATTTATCTAACTCGCGTCTCTCTCTCTCTCTTTCTCTGTCCTCTTTTCCTAAACATCCCCAAAATGTTTCGTTTGAATATTGAAATGCGAATTAATAACTGATGCTACCTCGATATTTTAAATTGATGCACGTACATGATTTATCAAGGCAGTTCATATTTCATCAAACGTCATTAATTTGCAGATTATTATGTAATTTCTGATGGACAGCGTATAAGAGATTGCTTCTGGTGTAACGCGATATGCAATTACGATTTAACTCGGCGATATCATTTTTCCCCGCCGAATTATCCGCTTTCCTTGCAACGCTTGTTTCTTCTCGGAGTCGAATGAGAAATTAATTATGAAATTAATTATTAAAGTATACATTAGTAATCCTAATTGCAAATTTGATCAAGGATTTCAGAAATAATAAATCTATATTACGATATTATCGTCTTCGAAACGCATTGCTCTTCGAGAACGCGATGGATTTCTCGAGATTCCGAGAGAATGATAAGCGGTTATCGCCGAAGATAACATAATCGAATTGCACGCTTCTCCGTTAGTTGGGCGTCTTCGTGTCGACGGCGACAGAGTATAATTAATATCACGATGCTCCGCATTTCAGACGAGAGCAAGGTAGCGTACGGATATGTATCGCCGTCGCCGTACGGGCCCGTGAGTTACGGGCCCGCCGTGGGCGTCGGCCCGGTGCCGAGCGACGTGCCCGGCTACGAGGAGGGCCATCCGGGCGTGCCGCTGACGTCGGGCGTGCCGCCCGGCATCTTCGAGGATGAGGTGCACCTGCAGCGGCTGCAGTCGCGCGGCCATCCGGTCGTGCCGGGCATGGCGTCGCCGCTCGACGACGATCAGAAGTCCATGCGCTGGCGCGACCCGAACCTGTCCGAGGTGATCGGCTTCCTGAGCAACCCGAACAACATCATCAAGGCGAACGCGGCCGCGTACCTGCAGCACCTCTGCTACATGGACGACCCGAACAAGCAGAAAACGCGCAGCCTCGGCGGCATACCGCCGCTCGTGCAGCTTCTCGACCACGACAATCCGGACGTGTACCGGAACGCGTGCGGCGCCCTGAGGAATCTGTCGTACGGCCGGCAGAACGACGAGAACAAGCGCGCGATCAAGAACGCCGGCGGCGTGCCGGCGCTCATCAACCTGCTGCGGCGAACGTCCGACGCGGATGTCAAGGAGTTGGTCACGGGAGTGTTGTGGAATCTGTCCTCGTGCGAGGTGAGTTCCCGACAAATACACTGTTTAGCAAAATCATCAACGCGCGCTTAGATCATTTTAGGTCTGTGATATTCGGCTTTATGAAATATTCTTCTTAACTTTTATATTTTACTGTAATATTGTCATCATTTTTTTATCTTCTTGTTAACAAACACACACACACACACATGTGCGTTGACTTTTTTATAAATAGTTTACACTTCTCGACATCGATCGCTTCGCGCCCGACTTGATTTTAACGCACGCGAATCGCTTAATACGAGACTTACATTAGACGAAAAGAAAATTTAATGAGAAAATCAAATTAAATGTTCAATACGTTGTAATTTTTTATTTTTAACATTTTCTCACGTTTCGTATTTTTATTTTTGACTTCAATTCTTTATACTTTAATCTTTTGAAGGTGAAATTTTCTCTATTTTAATGCTTTTAAATCTTTTTCAATCAATCTAGCATTTAAAAATACAGTTCTCAATACAAACATTAATGTTTAACTTTTAATTTTCATTTTGGTGTATTTAATATTGTGATGTAACATTTTTTTCATTCTAGCTAACCTGATAATACGCTATAATAATTTAAACGCTAGAATAAGTGGTTTTTCTAGTTTCAAAATTTTTTATATTAGTCTTTTAGTTAAAAATTTTAATTATGAGAGAACATTTAAAAATATTAAACACGATTTTTTCGAAACTAAAAGTGAAATATTAGTCGGTAGAATTTCGCTTCTTAACGCAATGGACAGTAAAGGAGAATTTCATTAACTAGGAAATTAACATAAATTAAAATGGATTAGAACGCAGGGAACACTCTTCCTCTAATTTTCCCACTAAATAATTTCGCGTGCGTTAAATCCAAAGTCAAACGCGTAGGGAATTCTTTTTTTAGACCGGAGTTCTCTCATTAACAGGGACTTAAAGCGCGCGAGAGGGTAATTCGGATGTGCGGTTTTCAGGACCTGAAGAGGTCGATCATTGACGACGGCGTGACGATGGTGGTGAACAACATAATAATACCTCACAGCGGCTGGGACCCGAGCTCGTCGAGCGGCGAGACGTGCTGGTCGACGGTCTTCAGGAACGCGTCCGGCGTTTTGCGGAACGTGTCGAGCGCGGGCGAGTACGCGCGTAAGAATCTGCGCGAGTGCGAGGGCCTGGTGGACGCGCTGCTCTACGTGGTGCGTTCGGCGATCGAGAAGTCCAACATCGGCAACAAAATCGTGGAGAACTGCGTGTGCATTCTGAGGAACCTGAGCTACCGCTGCCAGGAGGTGGAGGACCCGAATTACGACAAGCACCCGATCCAGTCCACGGTGCAGAACAGGGTCGCGGCGCCCGCGAAAGGTGAGACCGGATGGGGGATGAAAGGGCGATTTATCATTATCGTAGCATGGAGTGACAACTTGCAGCTCGTGTGGAGGATTCAGTGCCGCGACAGCTTAAACCTCGCCCCCGGAAACTCGAGGAAATTAATCTGAATTTAAGTTTGATCGGAGCTCAATTTAGATTTAACCTAATTTTGTTCATAATCAATCTAAATTGAGTTTAATCTAATTAAGGGATATAGAAATAACGCTTTCGTACAATTTTAACGTAATGTCTATTGTTTCGCTTCTACTTCTTTTCTCTGCAAATCAATCGAATAATTCATTCATATATAAAAAAAACTTGGACAAAAGGTATCGTGCTTGAAAAGTTTCGTTCACTTCACTTTTACAAATTTCGAAAATTTCGAGAGCTCCGCTTTTATATCTTTGAATCGAATTGAAGTTGAGTAAATATATGATTAATTGAACTGAATTGAAATTAATTTTCCCCGAGATCTTGGGAGAAGCGTGAGTCCTTCATACTGCGAATGACACGTGTAAATGCTGACAAATGCGCAATCATGAGATTTGCATAGACAAATGCGCGTTGTGCTTCAACGATGAAAAATAAATTGCAGTGGAAGAGAGGGAGAGATATCTCGAGCGGTGCTTTCGGAACGAATACGTTTTCCGCGGCACGCACGAACCTCCCTCGATAGGCGTGTAGATGCAATCACATTGTGCGTGTGTATGTATGTGTAAAAAGGTTGAGAGGAACGAGTGAGGAGGAGATAAATGATTCATCCCTCAAACCAACCATAAAATTGGATCACCGGGAGCGCGCAGCCTCCCTGCTGCAGGCACTTTTCTAGCTATTGTGCGAAACTATCGTGTAAATATGCGCCTTTCGAATGCGATTAATTGTTCTACATCAAATTGGGATAAAGCGATCGGCCGAAATTGCGCGATAGCGCTTAAAATTTCAGAGCTCTATGAAATTTTGCGAACTATCTGTATCAGAAATTTCAGCTTCCGCGATTTCCAATTAAAATGTTTGCGCGCGAGTTGCTGAAACATTTACGATATATGGCTTGAAATAATAACAAATAGTAGTTTCCCTTTTTACGATATTTGTGAATAGCAGTTAATTTGAGCATTTCACGCGCGAACACGCAGTCGTTGATATTTCACGGCGTAGTTAGTAGCTGTAGTTAGTTTACGTAGCGTATCAAATTTGATTAAAACTTCCGGTTTATACCGATGTGAGGTAGCGGAATATTCGTGTCGCGCCGGGAAACTAGAAATAACGTACTTAGAAAAGTGGCAATAGCAAATAGATGGTTCGATCTAGTAGACGACTGTGTATTTTACGATCTGTGTTCTTTACGATTATTTTTGTTTTGTCGAATTCTCTCCTAATTTCCATCAATAATATGCATCTTACTAGTTTTCAAAGCGGGGATGGATATATACAGTGTGTCCAGAAATGTACATACACGAACCCCGTACCTTGTATATCTCTGTCTGTATTCTTCTTAGTTTCCTATGATTTCGTTTGTTTTTTTTTTTTTGTTAATCATCAATTATATGTACAAATCTTAGTTGAATCTTAGTTGAATCTTCCAGTTGATTTCGACGTTTTGATTTACGTGTTGTTTGTACCGATTTTTTATCGGATCCTAGTTCAGCATGGATTAAACTGTGTTTCAATCTTTTTAGCGTACAGTTTATGTCAAGGTAAGACCCTCATCCATTGGTAAATTAGTTATCGCATGCTTTGCTTTGGCGAATCGTCGTAAAAGCTGAACACGTTACCATGAGTTTATATTTTCCCTGTGAATTATTTATTTTTTCTCTTTTTTTTCAATTTAAATTCGTAATTGCTCTGTGTTTTCTACAGCAATAATTTCCACTTTTGTATACACTGTCTATTTTGCGCTAGAATTCAGAACAAAGTCCACCGACAACGGATAGATTAAGCGAGCTTGTTGCAAAGTTGGCAGATAGTTTACAGTTTCGTTTCTGATTTCGTTTGTTGCGTAGATAAGTGGTTCATTTCATTTAGCAGGTTAGCTAGATAAGAATTTAGAAGCGTAACGGGCGCATCAGAAACGCAAGAACGGACATTAACACTTCTCGATGTCGATCAGTGCTGCTCAGTATTGCTGAAAATTGCTGTCGCATTATCGTACATTAAGAAATCTAAATCTAACAAGCGATTTAATAATTAAATACGAGATTAATTATAAATTTGAAGAAAAAAAAATCAAACACATCGAACTCTTGGCTTCACAATTCTTTTGTAACGCAACTGTGCGATTTTTATTAATGCGAATTTTGCGTCATTCTGCTCTAGGCGAGAATCTAGGCTGCTTCGGCGGCAGCAAGAAAAAGAAGGACGGCCAACCGGTCCAGAAGGAGACCACCGCGTCGCGCACGACGAATCCGCGGACCGAACCGGTCAGGGGAATGGAATTGCTCTGGCAACCGGAAGTGGTCCAGTCGTACCTCAGCCTTTTGCAAACCTGCTCGAATCCGGAAACGCTGGAGGCCGCCGCCGGGGCCCTGCAGAACCTCGCCGCCTGCTACTGGCAGCCGAGCATCGAGATTCGCGCGGCCGTTCGCAAAGAGAAGGGCCTTCCTATATTGGTGGAACTTTTGAGAATGGAGGTACGAATTTCACGAGAGGTCTAATATATTTAACGGCTCTGTTAAAATATACAACACCGACGGGTTAAAGTAGACATATGTATATATATATGTCTTCCAGCGAAATTATAAATTAAACTTGAGCCGTCTGCAATCATTTAATTATTTTATGCGCACTAAAAGTTGCAAAAATTTCTAACGTTAAATTATATTATTTTGTTTTTATATTTTAATACATATTTGCATCAACTATTATTAACTATTGTTGACGTCTAAAGTTACACTTTGCCAGAGAATAAATATATATGTGATTCAAAAATATCTTCTTTGATTTCTCAAATATGTTTAATACGTAATTAGTAAAATAAAGTTTGGTATTATGCTTATAATTAATTTCTGCGGCCAGGTGGACCGAGTAGTATGCGCGGTCGCGACTGCACTCAGGAACTTGGCGATAGACCAGCGCAATAAGGAGCTAATAGGCAAGTACGCGATGAGGGATCTCATCCAGAAGCTACCGTCTGGCAATAACCAACACGATCAGGGCACGAGCGACGACACAATCGCTGCGGTGCTCGCCACTCTCAACGAGGTCATCAAGAAGAACGCCGAGTTCTCGCGGTCGTTGCTCGACGCCGGCGGCGTCGACAGATTGATGAACATCACCAGGCAACGCCAGAAATACACGCCGCGTGTTCTTAAATTCGCAGGTGAGACCGGGAGGTCGAATTTATTTTGAGTTAATTATACAAGACGACAATTAAAATGTTACTAAGATTATTTTGCGAATGCACAGAATTAAATTGGTGAATAATACAAAATTTGAAGAGCTTTAAATACGAGAAATTTGTCGATTGTAATAAGAATTATATACAAAGTAATTTAATAAAAAATGTTTTACGCGCGTAATAAATTTTCTAATTGTCACTTTGTATATTAATAACGCTGAATACACGGCTTATTTTAACTGAATAATTACTATCGAGGTTATTTAACCTAAACGTATTTTTAGGACAAGTATTGTTCACCATGTGGCAACATCAAGAGTTGCGGGACGTCTACAAGAAGCACGGCTGGAAGGAGCAAGATTTCGTCACAAAAACCGTCGCCGCCAGAAATTCAGGGCCTAATTCACCCAACAACGCTAACAGGTAATTAACCACGCGCGTTTCCGGATGAATATATAAATATATAAAATAAATGCATAACAATATGTTTAGTTGATTTTTAAATCGATTTTATCGTTCATCAATTATTTTTCATAATTTTAATAGAATTTAGTTCTTTGTGTGTGTTATTTACGCTTTATCATTATAATATTTAATATGAAGAATAAATAAAAAAATATTAATTAGAAATATCGTAAAATTTGTTTGCTTTCTTTCAAGCGCGATTTTAGTTTGTAATATTTTTATTTCTAGGACTCCGCTTATCTTTTGTTTTTTATTTATTTGTCGCATTTTATAAGGTTTAATTCGTTATATTTGTTGCGCGGAGTCCTCGGTATTTTGCCTCGGATAACTCGATTCTACGTTAAAATGCAGCTATGATTGCAGCACCCTGAATCGACCGATGGCAAGCCAGGGCAGCACAAGATATGAAGATCGAACGATCCAGCGAGCGAACATGAACTCGAATAATGTCGGTCGACCTACTATATATCAATCAGTAAGTAATAATAACTAACAGCATCACTAAACAAATACACTGTGTAGGTACACCTTATAGGATCTCGTCAAGACAAGCACAATCGACGGAAAAAAAATCACATGTGCACATTACATGCAATTTGAATCGCCGGTCTTAAGAAAAAAAAATATACCTACTAATATTTCATTAATTAAAAAAAAAAAAAAACATTAATTTCGGAATTTATTTACAACTCATGAATAAATAGAAAAATTTAAAACTTACATTTTAAAACGGTTCATATAAATTATCTATTATTCTTGTCGCAAAATTGAAAATTTAATTAACGTTGTTGCTTCGTAATTGCGCTTGACTTTTCTTAGGACCGACGAGACTTCGTCCTAATTATTGCCATCATGATTTTTCCGATAATCGCGTCACAAGATAGGTTTTAGGTAGAAATTGTAGTCTTTCGTCACGACTTCCTCAAACACACCCGATAGATCGTACACAAATATTTGTATCGTATTACTAACTTTGCTTAAGCTCGCAAAGTGTGATTCAAAGTAGTTACCTAGAACGATCGACACCTTGGCAATCGATTGTGCCAAAACGAACGAATGTCACTCCGCAATTTTTACATTGTAATTCGCGTCGAGGAACACCGGCGTAGATAATTTAACCGAATGATTTGTGTCAACGATTGTCTTCCCACATTTTTGTTGACTCTTTACACTTTGTAAAGATCTTTATTTTTACTGCGCAGACTTGTATCGTTAAGTAGATGCAAAGGGAAAGAGGTAAAATTATTGTGCACTAGAAAGAAAGCAAACATTTTTTCATATAATAAAGATCCAAGAGTTAAAAATAAAATTACTCGCTATATGTAATACACGTTCGGCATTTAGTGGAATGCGAATCATCCGGCTGTACGGAAATTTGCAATTTAATGTTCACGCGCGCAACACGTTTACACACGAATCCACCAAAGCACGAAACTGGACCAAAACCGCAATTTTTAATAACGCCGCGTAGTCACTTTCTAAATCTCGCGACCTTTTGCACGGTTTTTCACGGCAGTTTTTCCAGCTGTTCCAATTGATTTGATTACGAAAAAGATATAATCTTAGAAACGCACCGCGCAGTATTACTGTTAACGATTTTAGGTCTAACAATAAGCGACGGTACACTCGGTAGTACTCGCGTCACTTTTGTACACACCTCTCTGTCTCCGCGGACCGAGCGCACAATGTTAACACTAGTAAGCCACGGCTGACGAAATCACTGCCTAAACGAGAACACCGTCACAAACACGATTTCTAACGATAGCGATTATTTTAGCTTTTAGCGAACGATAAGAAGATAATTTATATCGACGACTTAATCGTTGGTAATTGAAGAAAAAGAAAAAAAACAAGCATTTATATATCGAGGTAGAGAGCGAGTTCAGTTTCCTACGAATTTTTAGTGTGTGTTTTGACGTAATATTTAATTATATTTTATTAATGTACCGCAAAGTGTAAACACATTTGCAACTAAATTATTACGTAGCCTATATAGTCCTCATTGTATACCCGATTTTGTATATAAGTTTAGAAAAGGATACGTAAGTTAAAGTACACAGAGTATAATTGATATGGATATTCACACGCTATATACGACGCCATATAAATTAGATTTTAGAATTTTGATTCCCGAAATTATTATTAACATTTTTTTTTAACACAGTATTTTATGAAATTTATTTTAAATAATTAATGTTGTAGGATATAACGCTAAGTTTAATAGAGAATCATGTCTAATCTTTTAGTACGTCAATGACGAAGGATTATATTATTGAACAAATTATTGATTTATTATGAGAATTTCATTTATATATTCTATCACGTGAAGGAAATTATATACTATTATATATAATTTTATAGCGCGCACACACACACACATACACGCGTATATGTGCGTCTTTATATCATGTGTATCTCAACTATGCATTACTCACGTCGCACACGTCGGAATATATTTATATTCTGTATTTAGCCGAATACTAAAGCGCAGTGTAAGAAACAAAAAAAAAAATCAGTTACTTGAAAATATGTATATTAGATAGCCTATATATCTAATTGCAAATAAAGGCCAAACATATCATATTTTAACGTCTTGCCTGGATATTACATTGCACTCTCGATTACCTGACGATAGGAAGAAAAAGAGGGGGAGCTTCCCTAAAACATTATAATAAAAATAAAAATTTTACAAGGAAAAATGTTGGGTAAATTTCTAAATTTCTTCCACTAATCTTCCACTTATTTTGCAAAAAAATTGTGTTTCAATGCACCCATAATACTTGCAACTCTAAACTTGCATGCAACAATCTAACACATATCTACATTCTTTACTAATTATTACTGTTCGCTGACGAATCTGCTTGTTCCAGCATGCCACTTCTCACTTTCATTATTACTGCGTCTCGCGATGATTCACGCCTGGATAATCGAGAGTGCAATCGTGTGTAAAATACCCCCGCAAAAGTATCTGAGCTTCTTTCAGCATTCGAAGGGCCGAGGCGCCGCGCGGTACTCCCCCCGCACCCTCGCC